GGGGGGGGGGGGGGGGGGGGGGGGGGGGGGGGGAGGGGGAAAAAAGGAAAAAAAAAACAGCAGATTATTGATTCGCTTCTGAAGAGAGGACCAACCTAAAAGCCCCAATGAATTGTCACTCATTATTGAAATTACTGAACACTAATTAAACTGGCAGCTGAAATCCCAGCAGGCCGTGCTCATCTGAAGAAGAATTTCAGCTCCTTGGACAGAGCAGGGGAGGAAACATTAGCAACTACAAGGATGTTAATGAGCTTTGCATTCTCTCTCCCTCTCCCTCTCCCACACTCTCTCTCTTTTCCCCTTTCCTTCTGTTTTTTGGTTGTGTTTAAGGGAAGGTTTTCAGCTTAACGGGCACAATACAAAACACTATCCTCATTTGATTGTTTTTTTTTTTTTATTCATTCCGAAGGTTAGCACTTGTTTCTTTTTTTTTTTGTTTTAATCCAAAGTGTCCTTTACAGTATTATGCTCGATAAAAAATTCTTTTAATATATTGTTCGAAAGTACAACAGGGGAAATCTTTCTGGGAATTCAGCCTGGAACCTGTGGGCCAGGCAGTGGAGGGCGTTACTGTGTTAGGGTGAAGGTCGCCATGGTAGCGGCCCATGTGGATCTGGGGGCGGGGCCACAAGCAGCTTCATGCCGGAGCCTCCTTCAGTTTCGGCGCCGCGCCCCACTGCCCCGCAGTCTGACCCCGCCTCCCCTCTCCCTGCGCCCCATGTGCTCTGTGTGTTGGGCTGACACCCTTGGGGTGGGTGCCGGCATACGTGTGAGGGGGGGCCCGCTTTCGCAGGTATCCTGTAAAGGTGAGAATTGCCATCGAATTCCCGCTCATGTGACTCGGGCGCCGTGTGATGTGAGACGGGAAAGCAGGAATGTTTTATTAACAGAGACCCGCGGAGGATTCAGGTTTATGGCGTTCCCCAAATGGCTCCCGAAAACATGTAAAAAAGATAAAACAGCACAATACTACAGCATAGACTCAGCGGACTGAGCCAGGCATGTAAACCTCAGCCGCAAAGACGCTAAAACATTCTAAATTCTTTATTTATTTCTTTCCCACCACAAATAGGTAAAAAAAAAACCTTTTCTAGTTCTGTTGTACCTCACTGACTGGGGAAGGTGGAGCTGAGGAGCACAGTGCCCCCCCCCCCCCAACACATCCCACCACTCAAGGAAAGTGGCCTCCTGAAAATAAACCCTTCTTTTATTTAAGGTGCGGGGAAAAAAGCTTGCTGGAAAGCATCCCTACCAGCAGAGGGCGTGCTAATGCCCCCCCCGGCCAAATTGCCCCACTCTCAGTCCACCTTCATTAGCCGTGTCGACTTTCGGGTTTTTTATTTTATTTCATTTTTTTTCCCTCCCTCCTTGTTCGAAATCAACAAACACGAGCACCAGGCATAGTGTGTCCTATTTTATCAAATGGACCACAGCTTGGTAATGGTGTCCCCTGACAATTCCGACTAATCTATGCTGATGACCACAGGGACAGTGATGATTGTCATGTTAGTAAAAAAAATAAAAAATTAAATAATAGGAAGGAAGAAAAAAGGAAAAAAATCAAAACAATCATGTTACGTCAGTTCTACCATTAAAAGACCAGCTTCCCTGCAATTTTTGTGTTCTGTAATTAATACTCTTGGGTTTGCTATTTCCAAGCTGGTACTCCAGGCAAGGAGATGCCACTCACCTGATAATTATTTCAGGAAGTCATGCACGAATGAATGTGATTGACAAATGCAGCATTGCTGTAATTGCCTCCAGCATAGACAGGGACAGGCAGAAAGAAAGGGATAAGTTAACCAGTTATGTACTTACCTAGGATGATTAAAGACAGAGGCTGGAGACATCCCGACTTCTGTCAGAGGTGAGAGCTACCCACTGTAAGTGCCAGGGTTATGTTTGATTTCGCCGAGGTTTCGCAGAGACGCGGGCAGGTGGGTTGCGCGCACGCTCACGTGCAACCGCGTCCTGCACCGCCAACGTTAATTGGCGGAAACCGGCAGCACGAGACCACGACGGAGGCGCCGCGCGTTGCTGCCGCCTCGTCCGCCGTCAAAGCCCGGGGAACCGTCGAGATGATGAAAATCTCTGGCCCAATGATGTGCCGAAAGTGGATTTAAATTATAGAAGTGGCCCCCGTTTCTGATATTCTGAAGTCGAGTTTCATACTTTTTAACAAGCTGGAGAAGCTGGGCTGGTACCGGTTCTTAATTTGCTACCATATGTCCCCAGGCTCTGCGGAATGCAGGCTCCGGAATTTGGAACACAGAAATTGGAATGTAGCGGCTGATTTGTCGAGTGCAGGAATCCAGTGCATCCAGGAATTTGAGCCAAATAACTGGGCTACCTACATTTGATGCATGTGGGATGTCCTTTAATTAAGAAGGTTATCACACTGCATTGTATTATTATTATTATTATTATTATTATTGTTGTTATTATTATTTTGTTATCATTGTCTCAGGCTCCTATTAGGTTTTAGGGCACAGTAATTCCTTAAAAAGCCTTCTTTTATTTTTCTGGGTGTATTAATCAGCGGGCTGCCCTGATTTGGCACAGCGCACAATCTGCGAAGTTAAATCCCTTAATGTGATTTGTGATTCAGGCATTTGTTTTTTATTTAAAGGGCTACAGAAAAAGCTTTTAAAAGCTTTTTTTTTTTTTTTTTAAATCGCTCCATCCAATAATACAGCAGAATATGCAAGAATATCGAACCTTTTTCATTATGATTCATATGTAAATATTTTCATGCATTATCTAATAGAACAGTGTTTATTTAAACCAAGTACCCTAACAAAATATACTCTGAAGGTCCCGTTCTTTGCTATTTCCATCTGTCAAGATAATTTATTATGAGAAAGATTGGAAACATATTTTGCTTTTGTGTTTGGTTTTGATCATCTTAGCAGGGAGAAAAGATGATGTCCAAATAGGGGAACGGAAATGGGCCAAATAAAATAAAATATACTTATAACAAATTATGAAGCCTATACACATCATATTGCAAAAAATACTTGATGACAACCTGATATGCCTCTCTGCAAAAACAACCAAAAAAAGTATATGAAAAAAATAATAACCCGTAGCCTCAAATGTTTGCTTAATCTGTCTTTCCTTGTGCAAATCTACTTTAAAATATGGAGACTTCAAAGGCCATGTAGAGGTGAGGCTCTTAAGTTTGAGGAGAATTAACGTGAAAATTCGTAAGAGGAGGAAGGAGGAGATGTGTAATTGGCAGGTTTTCTCCTCAGCTTGTGGATATCAGACAGATGGGGAGGATAAAACAAGGGCCCTAATAATTAATGTTCATGTTCCTCGCTAGCGGGATCCTTTTTATCTGTGTCCCTGTGATTAGAGCGAAAGACAGAATTCGGAAAAATCCCTCTCATTAGCAAGCGGGGCAGCGGACGCCACAGATTGGCGGTAGGGAAGAACGCGATTCCGTGTCTTGCCGTACGGCGCTCATGCTGTGGATGAGGGAGACAAGACAGGAATGCTCGTACGACGTCCAAGCACACACACAAACGTCCGATGGGAACCACTGGGCATTTGTCGACTTCATGGAGCCCATGTTGTATGATGCGCGAGAAGCAGCTGAAAGGTCCGAATTCTGAAATTTGGATGGACCCGCGTCGGTCGGGAGGGTGAATGCACGCCCGTGATCTCGAAGGCCATTGATGCTTTCTTGTTTTTGTTTGTTTGCTTTTTTTCATTTTCATAATCAAAGAAACATTAGATCAGCTCTTTAAATCATCGATGACCTCTGGATGCGCGAGAGGAAATTCAGTCTCTGCGGTTAGTCTTACCAGGGACTGATCTCTTGGCAAACAAACATTGCACACCATGGAGCGATACCTCTCGACTTTACCGAAGAACTTATTCAACTCTTGCTATGATCTGCACCCAAAGGAAAAACAGACACACGCAATAAAAGTCCCACTATCACAGGACAGACAGTATAGACATTTTTCCCAGATAACACGTCTGTAGTTGGTGTAGATATTTAATTCCATGGATGTGGTATCATCTGGAATCATTAAGTTCATCAAGACAAACTGCTACAGTTTTCCCCAGTGGTAAACCTGCTGTAAGGGGACTAATTTGCACTCTTCCCCAAAGCTCTGTCCCATATTAGTAACTCCCAACGTGACAAGGTCAAACTCCATGTCAGGGCAGAGCGAGGAATCGGCAAGAAGCACACAGCTGAAGTTGCAGCCCCCCAGAACATCTGATCTTGACATATATTCTCATGTTTTAACTCTGCTTAGTTCAGCACTGTGAACATTCGCCTGTCAGAAAATCTCAGTGAGTGCGACATCCTTACATTTCTGCTCCCCTAATATTTTACCAAACTGAGTGACATTTCCCTGCCGTATGGATTTCTACCAGATAACATAGGAATGCTCGTAATATTTTTCAAAGCTGTCTAGTAGTTAGACTTAATAGCACGAAACTATAACTGATCCGAATCCAAAACATTGTGACAGCATTAAAAATCGGTTATGTCCAGGTGGTAAAAAACAGGCTTGGGCACACAATATATTAAAAAGGGGTTAATCTTGTGACAGATCAGATGAGACCATTTAAACCATCCTGTGGACGTGATCCAGAGAGAGAGACACAACTCTTCAGTGAAGTATGCGTGTGACCCCAGAGCATTCTGGGTAAACATTGCTGTTTTTTTTTTATTCCCAATTCAAGAGCATAAAAATGCATGTGTTCCTTCTCTCTCTGCTCGCTAAAGATTCATTAGGGTTGAAAGGCAAAAACCAATTAAGGATGAGAAACAATAAAAAAACAGTACAACAGCTTTAACATGAAAACACGCTGACCACAAGCTATTACCCTGGAGCACCACTGTGACGTAGGCAGTAACTCTGCAGCTGTTTTGTACTGCAAACACGGAGGATTTCCACAGATTTTCTGGGGACTTTGTGCTGACAGCGGCGGCTCCTCAGGTCAGGAGAGTAGCCCGATGGAATTTACTCAGATAACCAAGCAAAGCGCATCGTTTCCTGGCCCAGGAGCCTGGGATGCATGGCAGAGCATTGTGTTTTTCTGGAACTTTCTGCATTATTATTATCATTTCTGCATTACTCATCCCTGCCCTTGGAAACAGAAAGCTTTTTATGTGGGGTCATCCATGGAGATTAATGCGTGTTTCAGCTTCTTGGTTTTAGGGGGGATACGGGGGATGATGCGGATTAGCTTTAATTACAGCTCCTTAAAATGAAAAAAAAACTGCTTGTATTATATTATTCCATCCATTCATCCATCCAAACTAGACTCCCAGTACAGGGTCACAATGGGCCTAGAGCCCATCCCAGTACAACCAGAACATGGGTCAAGGAACACCCAGATGAGATGCTCGTCCATCATAGGGCACAATCGTATCATTTTAATCCGAATTATTGTTTTACGCTCTTTGTGGGCTTGAGTTTGACCAAGAGTCTCATTGCGGGTCATTTATGTGTCATAAGATTTGGCGACATTTACTGACACTTCCGTCACACACACACGCACGCACACACACACACATACACCCACACGCACACACACACGCACGCACACACACACACGTACGCACATGTAGGGTAAACATATCCTTATGGGGACCGCTCAATTATTTCAATGGGAAAAATGCTAACGCTAACCATGACAACCTTAACCCCCACCCAGCCCTAACCATAACTAACAAAATACAAGAGTTTTTGCATTTTTAGTTTTTTCATAGCAGTCACTGATTTTTATAAAACGTACGCACAC